GTTGGAATTGTGTGCTGTTGTGATGCTCCTGGATTTCCAAAAGAAGCTTTGGAAACTGTTTGGTCACATTCAGTATCACTGGAAGCAGGCAACCTTTTTTCTGTGGGTGAGTTCTGATATTTGAGAAGGCTTCTCTAAGACAGGGGCATCTGAACTACAAAGCTACTTTTGTCTTCCCATGAAGTGATAAATCCTTCCATTAAAAACTATTACTGAGCTTTTAGGCAGTTGCTGTGCCCTACAACTTGTCTGACACTGGCCAAGGAGCTCGAGGGGAGAGAAGGGATACTAAACTTCTGCACACCCATCTGAGAACACCCATCTTGGCTGTCAAACTAAGAAGTCTGTATAGGAGTGTAGGACGAGTTCTGGATAATTTTTCCTCCAAATAAGAGTTCTGTCTTTGGGCAATACTTTTGTTCCCTTCTTAACATCAAAATAACCTCTGCATCATTTCTAAAATTGTATTATCCACCAGAGCACCCTCTGCTAAACTTAGAAAGCAGTGAAGATGCTTTATTCTTTGCATGGATGTTTTTAGTCATGTACTATGTACATGCCTAAGTTAGTTTCATTTTGCCAGCACATTATATTTACTGTTAAAGGAGTTAGGTTCCCTGTTCTTCCTGGGTTTTGCTTTGAAACATAAATTAAAAATGGCTTTTGTCAATAAATCTATACTCACATGCAGACACCAGCTGTATGTGATGCTCTTGGATGTCCCTTGGTAGGGACCTGCTGCTGCTTTTCTTGTTCAGGTTTGGATTGGTCTGAAGGTAACAGTGGGGCTTGTTCTTAAAATTTCTTTCTTTTTTTTAGAACACCAAGCATATTGTTACATAACAAAGGCATTGGCACTTGCTTGCCTGTCATGCACAGATTGCCTTTCTGTTTAATCTCTTTCCATGTGTTTCATATTCTCATGTCTTTTATTGCCTGTAAAAAATACCCCTATCATGCCTGAGGTACTCTTTTCTAGCCCTAAGACCTGTTGTCCACTTTGTAGCTTTTCTTGGTGAAGGAGTAAGGCTTTAGAGCAAAAAGTCTCTGCTGTGTTGAGTCTTCTGCAGCTCTGATCTGTTTGGCAGAACCTAACAACATAATTATTTCACTCTTAATTTAATCTTAAGGCATTTAACATCTGTCTTACCCTAGAGCACTCCCAGTTTACACTTACTGAGTTAGCAGCAAGTCCACCTTCCCTGGCCTCAGTGTTGAAGGGCACTGAAAATCCATTTTGCTGGATTAAACTCCTGGTTACCTGCTTTAGTAGTTGGGGAAAGGGTCTGTTAGAGCTCACTAAACCTGGGTGAGGCAGGTTGGTTGCTCATAAATTCAAACATTGGATAGAAAGTACTATAGAGAAGGTTTAAGGCAAGGTTATGAATTCCAGTGCTAGAGTCTTGCTCTTTGTTTCATTTTGCAAGGCAAAAACTGGAGTGATCTTGTCTGATGTGATTAACATGAAGAGCCAAGAAAACTTACCTGATTAGAATAACTAAGTAATATTGCCAAGCTTGTATTCCCAGAAGGTAGGAGAAAAGGGGCCATGTGAGTTTCAGAGTTATGGAAAACACTGAGAAAATGGATGTTAAAATGTGCTTTAGGCAGTTTGCTCAACAATACATCAGGGAAACTTCCAAGTCTACACAGCGATTACCCGATCGCTGAACATATTATTTAATTGTAGAACCACTTATATTCCATCTGTATTTCTCAAACCCAATCTTTCCAGATGTCTCAGACCAGTTTTATAGGCACCAGACACATTAGGGAACAAAAGGCTTTCCAATATATACTCATATTATCAAACATAGTCGCTAACTCTCACCAATATCAAATGTGCATCACATGTTAAATCCACGTGCCAATATTGAATCCTTTTGTCAGCAGTTTGTGACTTTCATAACTCACTTTAATTCTTCAGAGGTCTCAAATATTGTCAGTTTCTGAAGTTGAATAGTCAAAACTGTCAAGCACACAAAATATTTTCAAACAAAGTGATCTCTGAAGGGTTGGGTGTAATTATTTTTCACGTTTTAATGAAAATGGCTTCACAGTTCTGTGTTCTGTGGTGCCTTTCTCTAACTGAGTCACTCTGAATCATGCTGTTGAGGGGGAGTCTGGAAATCCAGACTAGAATTACTTCTCAGGGTAGCTTGAGGAATGGTGGCCACAGGATGTCCCTTCCTTGAACTTTCTTAGATAAGAGAGGAACCCAGGAACTGTGCTCACTGTACTTGGATCCAAACCACCTTAGCTCTTTGAAAAGCAGGTTCAGGTATCCAGACAATCTCCTCCATTTTCTGCTTCTGTTCTTTCAGAACCATTTGGAAGCTGCAAAGTCCTAAATGCTGCTGCTGGAAATGTCACAGCTAATTATTTTACCTGCAACTCATCAACTTCTTGTAGCAAAGTGTAAATTAGTGGGTTTTTTCCTTTTGGCTCTGAAGAATTTTTGCATTTTACTCTTCTTCAACTGTTGAGATAGATTTAAATTGTGTGAACAGCTTTCCTCAACCTCTCCATACCCCTTACTGTGCAGACACAAAGAGCACATAATAGTTTGCTATTGGTATGCAATTTGAAAGAGCCAAGATAAACCCCAAAGAAGGAAATGCTGAAGGAATCATAAATAATATGTTGTTGTTTGCAAGGGGAGAAGGAAACTCCACGAGCTGAGTGTTGGAATATGATGCTGGATCAGTAAATGACATGAAACAGATGTAGATATTTGTGGGAATGGTATACAGGAGATTAAAACTTATTGAAATACCTGTTAAAGACAAAGACTGAAACACCGTGGGCTCTAAAATCTCCTGTGAAATCTTATTAGGCATTTCATTCCGTTTCCAAAGTGTAGCTTTCTGTGAATTAATACTGAATTCTTATACTGAAATTTCCATAAGCCTTTGTAATTTTCCCTCTCCTTTGCCTCAGCATCATGAACTCAGATATCTCCAGATAACTGATCACACGTGAACAGCAAGTGTTCATGGGACCCCAGTTATCACAGGGGAAGCACTTTCTGAAACTCTTATACCAGTGAGTTCATTCATGTTGCTCAATAAATCATAAATGAATCATGTACTTCCTCCCACAAGGAGTGTGTTTCACTACTTTGGATTCTGTGTTTTCTTTCAACACTATATTAAACTACATAAAAGGAGTAAAACTTTTAGTCACGCTATGAAGTAAGAGGGAAGAACTGATAGGAAAAGGGATTCTTGAAAGGGTGGATGGTTTGTCTTCACTAACCAGCTCTCTGTCCTGGCCCCTTGCTGGGTGCTGGAATTCATTAAGTAAAGATTTAAGATATTATGTTTTTAAAAAGTCATAGAATCAACATTTTGTGTTGTGAATTATGTAGTTAAAATGGCCAGTCCAGTGACACAGGGCACTGAAGGGTTGGCAAACTACAAGTGTTTGAGAAGAGTCTTAGTGAATTCAGGAGGCCCAGGATTACACATAAATAAATAAAATATGTACCTTGCTGAATGAGGGCCTGATTAAAGAATTGACAGGTTGTTCAGACTTGTGCATATCAGCTCAGTCTGTTTATTTTTCCACGTTTCCAATATTTTTGAAACTGATTGCCCTGATACCAAACATGTGCAAGCTGCAAATTAACTTTCTCTCTGTATCTACAACTTCAAAGATTTTAAATGTGTTGCAAATACAATCCAAACCAGTCATGACTTTCTTCCCTTTACTTCTTTTTCCTCAGAGATTGGCAGTCAGAAATTCCACAAATACAGCCAAGAGAAGACACTGAAGTGGTTAAAGAAAAAGGTATTGTGTTTCTCTTTTTGCTTTCAAAATTGCTCTGTTTAAAATGAAAACACTTATTCACTTGTCCATGTCTGCTTTTGGGGTGTGCCTCAGTTCAAGGTATGTGTCCTATCCAAGAAGGGCAGTCATGACAGCAAAGTTGTTGCACTTGAGAGCATGATAAAGTATTAGAGAAATTACAGGTTACCTTTCTCTTTCTGATGGGGCTGGCATGAAAGGGTTCATGGAGTGTGAGGAGGCAGAACCAGCAGCTGAAGTTCAGCTTATTGCTGTGTTCTGTGGGCTTTGCATAAGGAGAGAGACTTGTCTTTTGCTTCATCCACTTCACAGGTGGGCTAGTACTTAAATTCTGCCATGCTTGAGAGCTGGTTTTGTGCTACAAATGGGCTTCCTCATGAAGTTTTGGCAGTCTCAGAAGGGTCCTGATGTGTGGCTACTGCTCTTCTGGTCCAATCACACTGTTGAAGTAGTCTGTATGCAGAAATAAACTGGTGTTGTCACTAAGCCTGATGTGGTCTGTGTTTGGGTATAAAGAGGGCCAGTATCATCTGACACATGCACATTTACCCCTGCCACTTGGTAGGAAAAGATGGTATGTGTCATGTGATAGAAGAAAGCCTTTTCTCTTACATCAGTCAATGAAAGCACAAAGTCTGATCTACTTTCTGCAGTCATATGCTAGTCATTACAAATGTATATTAAATTTCACCACAGTCCATAACTTGAGTGTTTTATATGCTTGAAACAAAATTACAAGAGCTTTGTCACTGCATTAACATGTGCATAACAACACTTAATACAGACATTTCATTTTGTGGTTTCCTATAGGTCAATCAAACAGTGAAAGCACTTAAAAGCAATGATATAATTGTAGGTGGAAGGGTATATGCAGCTACATTTATCAGCAGCAGACAGAACACAGACACTGAAGAAGGTAAGAAAACTGAACATTGTAATGAATTCCATTTCTGTGAAATCTCATAGGTAGAGACAAAACACAATGCATTGAAATTGGCCTTTGCAGTAAATTTATTCCTTGTACAGAAAGTTCCATGTATGTTGTCACTGTGTGCCTTGACTTTTCTGAGTTCTTTGGTCTCTTCATCAGATGACATTGTAATTAACAGGAGGTCTCAGTTGGAGTCCTTTTAGCTTCCTCTTAGTTCAAGGGACATGATGTTATTCTCAGTGAAATGTATGCTGAAGTGATTTGCTGAATTGAGACTGTCTTGAACAGTAGGACATGTGTTTATGAGATATAGATATATATATATATGTGTGTGTGTCCACCCAGTAAATGTCTCTCTATTAGAACAAACTTTTTTTAAATTGATTTTTATCAGCATGAAAATGCTCTTCATGGAATTTTCCAAGAAGGGAAGGGAACTTAGGAAGTCATAGTCACAGAGTAAAAGCTCCTGGTCCAAATATTACTCTGGGACAAATGTATAGAGTACACAAGTGTGCATATTTTAAGTGCAAAAAATTTAATAACAGGTCTGTTAAGTTGTCCTAAAGTTGACAGTCCTGGTCTCAAAATGTCTGTAGTGATCCTGTTTGCTTCTGGGCACCTTTTCCTGTGGAGGGATATGAAGTGGTGTAAAGAAGCCTGAAAGTGGGCTCAGAATAAATTCTTCCAATCTTAATGAAAATTAAGAAAAGTTTAGAACAAGGCAAACAAAAGCAAATGGTTTCTTACAAAGACATTGAGAAGTCTGCATGCTGTTGAGAAGTAAGGAGAAATAAAGCAACTTGCTGACAAAGTGGAAAATGAGTTCCCAAGTAATGATATCAAAGGGAAACAACATAAATGAGATTTAAGAGGCAATTAGACAGTTTTATAGAAGAGAGATTGTAATGTATGGTTTTTAAAAAGAGGCAAAGCTGTGACTTTAACTTCACAGTAGCTTTTCATCCTTCTCCTCACCCCCAGCTTATTAAAGAAAGGGGAAATTGTCCTGACAGCAACCATCTTGACTGTGCTTAAGTACTTTATCTCTGAAATTTATAATTGAATAACCTATCTGCAGTGTTTTTTTCCATTTTCCTCCTTACTTATAGTAGCATGGATATAATAGTCTTTGTAAAAGGGAATACTAGGGGTTAAAAGTAGGTAAGTTTTGGAGGCAGTCCCCCTGTCCATAGCAAGGTGAACGACAGGAAGTCAAATGGACCTTACTCAACACTTATTTTTAATAAGACTAATTTTCTTGTCTGATCCTTTCCCTGCCATGACAGTGCAATTTATTTCTGTAGAGAATTGCTTTCATAGGGACATCATGAAATTTCAGTACCTTATAAATAGATGACTATACACAGTTAGCATCTACAGATGTTACAGGGCAAAAATCTGGGAGGATATAATGAGTGCAAATGGGGAAGGAGAGGAGGCTTAACATGTGAGACCTGAATGTTTCATTCAGGAGACAAAGAAAGGAGAGGCACAAGCATTCCTGATGTTTGACAGGAGGTTAACAACAAAGCAAGGCTGGGGTGAGAACACAGACTCCCTAGAAGGCAAACAGTGGTATTTTAAAATTGGTCAAGGAAGTCAGCAGAGATTGCTTCAAGGCAGAAATGCAGAGAGAATGGATTCTGTATTCAGTACAAAATAATAGCAGGTGACTTGGACTCACCACTCAGTGTCACAATGCAAAGAGTGAAATGATGGGAATGTTTTTCCTAAGTGATAAGTTGGACATACTTAGTGCTGAGGTGAAATTGTCTCAGACTGGAATTATTTCTTGTTCCCTCCTGACCCTAAAGTGGGCTTAGGGAGTGCTGAATCTAGGCAGCAGTGGGAGGAGAAGTGCAGATGGAAGATACTAATGATTTCTTGTCACTCTAGTTGAAATGCATAGGCTAGTGTCAGGTTGTTAGTGCTTTCTGCTGCAATGCCAGTTAGCACTGGGCTTCTTGCATTAAAAAAACACAAAGGAAACTAGCTCTGGCACAGAAGAAATTGTACTTTACCACCCTGAGGCAAGTTTACCACCTGCTTCTGAACTCTCTGGGTGTATGAGCCTATGAACAGATAGAGCTGGCCTGTCCTAGGTGGAATTCAGAGGGGAGATTTTAGCTCCATGTCTGTCTGGCAAGCACTGCCTGTGCAGGGGTGCAGTTACTCCTTAGCAGCCCCAACAACAGCAAGTCTAAAAGATCCAGCCCAGGATCAGTGAATGCTTGTGTAGAATGTGACAGGAATGGTTTAGGACTTCATGTTGTCAAAGGGTCACTTCTTTTTTCCCCCAGTCTCTCAGAAAAACAGGAGTGCCCTGTGCTGAAAACACCTCCTAGTAGTTCATATTTGCACAGATAATTATCCCATCTTGCCAGTGATGTTTAGATAGGCCTTGGCATTTTCCTTAAAGTACTGAAATTAAGTACAAGACTTTGAAACAGACTCATTGTCTCATCTAATTGTTTTCAGTTGAAGCCAGAAAATGTACTTTAGGACTGAAGCCCTTGCCAAATAATTGTAAGATCCAGATGCTTTAAAATTAATGATTGCCTGTTCTGTTGAGTCAGCTTTTTTTGCTTTTGCAGGTTTTTAAAATTTAATTTCTTCAGAAAATGCATGATATCTAGTATCCTCAGAAAGTGAACAGCTTTTGTAAAGACCATGCAGCAGATATTAATAACATGTGCTGACAAAGTGAGTGTAGTAAGTTTTTACTCTTTAAATAAACCTACAAGTGTCATATAACATAAACTACTCAACGCAGAGAACCAACACCCTGTATCCATTAGGAGTCTCTTACTATTAATTCAACCTTATGATTTGTGGTAGTATGTGAAACATGGCTAAGGCAACGTGACCCTCTAATGTGAATGTTCTTTTTCTTCTCCTTCCCACTCCCTGCCCTGGTCCTGAAGACTATGTAAGATATGCCCATGGCTTAATATCAGAATATATTCCTGAAGACCTGAGTAAGGAGCTGTTAAAATACTTAGGGTGAGTATTGTTCCAGCTAGCTGCTGGTTTTATTTGGCCCATGTTAATGACCTTTTGGTTTTGAACACTGAGAGTTGTTCATCAAGATTGCAGGGAATGGCACAATGAGATATTTGCTACACTTTAAATCTCATTTTTTCACATACAGGTTATGCCTTTCATAGGATTATAGAATTGTTCATCATGATTGCAGGGAATGATACAAGGAGATTATATTTGCTACACTTTAAATCTCATTTTTTCACATACAGGTTATGCCTTTCATAGGATTATAGAATGGTTTGGGTTGGAAGGGACCTTTCAAGGTCACCTAGTCCAACCCCCTGTGGTGAGCAAGGACATCATTAACTAGATCAGGCTGCTCAGAGCCCTATCCAGCCTGACCTGGATTGTTTCCCAGGGTGGGGCATCCAGTACCTCTCTGGGAAACCAGTTCCACTGTTTTGTCACCCTTATTGTAAAAAAATTCTTCCTTATATCTACTTAATTCTACCCTCTCTTAATTTGAGACCATTACCCCTTGTCCTGTTGCAAGAGGCCCTGCTAAAAAGACTGTCTTCATCTTTCATATAAACCATTCCACTGGCTATGTCATTGATGGAAATATTAAACAGCACTGGTCCCAGTATGGACCCTCTGCAGGACACCACTTGTCACCTCTCTCCATCTGGACATTGAGCTGTTGATCAGTACCCTCTGGGTGCAACCATCCAACCAATTCTTGGTCACCAAGCAGTCCACCCATCAAATCCATATCTCTCTGATTTAGAGAGAAGGATGTTGTGGGGGACAGAGTCTGAGGCCTTGCAGAAGTCCAGACTGATGGCATCCATAGCTTTTCCCTCTCCACTGCTGTAGTCACTTCATCATAGAAGGCCACTAGGTTGGTCAGGCAGGAGTTGTCCTTGGTGAAGCCTGTTCTTGTCTTGTTGTTCATGCTCTGCTAAGGACCATGGGCTGGAGGGGAGAGGTGCTGTGTGTCTAGTATGTCTGCTGTCAAAGCTGCATCATGGAACCTTGAGCAGCATATCCCATTATAAAGCAAGGTGAAGAAGGAAATCCAAAGAGCTAACTTGAAGTCACATAACAGTTTCATTGAAGAGATTTTATGTGCTTTATCATTAGGCAAGGTTTTAAAAAGTAAGGTGGAGTTCTCCTCTTTTGTTTGCCACATCTATGAACTTTTCAAAGAACCCACGTTCCTCTATGGTGCCTGGCTCTGGTGTTTAGCTCAGAAGTATGGAGTCCATGAGCTGCTTCTTCTCCAAGCACATGCTGTGTGTGAGCAGCTGATGACCAAAGCAGCCTCTGTGGGGAGGGAATTGCAAGCTGTAGGTTGTGCAAGCCAGCTGTCTTCATTTGTAACTTAAAGTCTTTTCTTCTCCAGGCTCCCAGAACTTAAAAGCCCAACACCAGAGCCACCATCAAAGGTAGGAGAACATAAAGATACTGACAAATACATTCTGTTGTAAGGTAGTTTCTCTGGAGTATTACTGAAACTGGACTAGACCAAGCACTGGGTACAATACAAAAAAATTTGCCTTTTGAAAAGCCAGTCTGAAATAACACAAGAGATTTACCAGGTACTTAGTAATTTTTAATAAGATGGATTGTGGTTGGTTTTCCTGTTTCAAAAGGGGGAGGGATTTGGTCAGCAGTCTTTTCATATGTGTTTTGCTTATTTAGTTTTATTGAGGTTGATGGGACAATATGACCTCATAGGTTTTCTTTCATATGTAATTTATGAGGACCCTGAAAGGGACCTCCTGGGTCATGGATTCCCAGACAACCATGTTGGATAATCTCTCACACACTGACCATTCTTCACTGTAAGTCTCATTAGGATTTTTTATTTCCATTACTTCTCTTGGAAGACTGTTCTGTAACCTCATTCCTCTGATGCTCAGAAGCCTTCCTGTAAATTCCACCTTGAATTTATTCATGGCCAATTTATTCTCCTGTGCTTTTGTGCTAACCTTAGCATTGTTTTTTATTTTAATTGAAATGGCTCTTTTCCCTCCCTAACGTCAGTTCTCTCAGTGTGTAAGGGGAAGATGTATATCCTTTCTGGGTTTGTTTTGTGGAGCCAAACTTGGTTATTTGAGATGGCTTCTCCATTCCCTCATCATTGCAGGAATATTTCTTTACACCTATTCCAAAATCAGTTCAATTGTTTGAAAGCAGGTGACCAGAATTGTACATAATTATTCATGATAAAACCTTTGCCAGTGCAATACGATGACAACCTTCCTTTCTTGTCTGAACTGGAGGCACTTTATCTCATTACACCTTAGAATCCCATTTGCCTCGATTACTGTGTGATGCCCCAGATAGCTCAGAGTCATGCTGTGAGCAGTTTTTTGGGTATTTTTTCCTCCACTGCAATTTTTAGTTGATCAGCCTTCAGATTGATGAGAAATTCCTGCAATTAACTGCTGCGTACGTGACCTTCTACTTCTGTTTCACCCATTCTAAATGTTTCCAGCCTTGAAGGTTCTCTGGCTTTTCCTTCACAGTGTTAAAAGCTCTTGAGGCATTCATACTGCTACTCAGTGTACATTCAGCAAATGTTATCATGGTGTTATCTTTAATTAACAATGAGCATTTTGAATAGATACTACAGCACTCCACTAGTAACCTCCATCCAGTCTAAGGACATCCCGTGCTGCCTCAAGTGCCTTTGTTTCCCTTTTACCCAGTTTCTTACCTTAAAATTCTTTGTCTATCTTTGTTTTCTATAATTACAGTTGCTTAAGTGGCACCACATCAAGTCCTCTGGCAATCCTTCACATTTTCTGCCACCAGAAAATGTGTTATCTTTGAGAAAAAAAAAAGATAAGTTGATAGGCTTTACTGGTTTTAGTTTTCATTTACTCTGTATATTTTATTATTCCTCCTTATTTCACTTTTCTCCCCCTTCCATGCTGCTGAGGCCCATTATCACTCGTTCCCCCTCCTTACATGCAGATGGGTGTTTGGCTGTTCTGCTGCCTGATAGAACAGTTGCCAGGTTTTGCCTCTGGACTTGTGATTTCTGAGGCAGTCTCCCAACGGCGTCAGCATCTTGAGTTTTACTTCTGTCTTGAAGAGAGTGATTTCTATTCTCCTCTCTGCCCCCGTGTTTAACCTCTTCATCTTTACTGAAAACAATTTACTGAGGCAAAGGATTTATTCTATTTGGGAGCTACACATAGATTAGCTTTAATATCTATCCAATCCTTACTGTATAGCAGCTTCACTTTTTCTTTTTTTGATTCCTTTTTGCCTCTGTGGCTGAACAACCTTCTACTATTTGTTTTCATTTCCTTTCCAAGGTCTAACTCAGCTTGACTTTTTGGCATTTCTCATTTAATCCCAGTATTACCTGACCCCTATAACATTTATTTATTTTTTGGCATCACAGAATCCTGCATACTTCTAGTTCCATTTTTTTGAGGGGGGAGATATATGTGCATCTGAGTGAGCATTCATACAGTTTAGTCTGAGAAACTCTTTCCTTTAAGGTTGAAGTAAAAGACCTAAAATCACTTCTTTCATCTTTTTCTTTTACATTCCAAGTGCCCTCCTCACACCTCAAGTCTCTCTGCTTTGGCTTATGGAATTAAGTTGAATAGTTTGGAAATTTTGCTCCTTTAGCATCAAGAAACCCACTTTTGATTATCCTTTCCATTTAATTTAAACTCAAGGCACCCTATGCCTACTGAAACTAGGTTACTTACTACACCAGCCTTTCCAGCAATGCCCCTGCTACTTACTGAAACACAGTCTAAAATAAGCTCACTTCTGGCTGGTTCCATGACTGTTCTGTTAAGCAGTATGTCAGCTAGCACATGCAGGAATAATTGGGCCCTACTGTTATTAATAGCATTTGTTCTCCAATGTATATCCATGGGTATATAAGTTATTTCCATGTGGTTGGACAGTTGTTCTGGCTGCACAGTTACTTGGCTCTTTGATTCAGTTAAGAATTATCTTTATGCATTGTAAGAAATATTAAACACACAGCAGGAGCCAACTGATATTCATTAGCCATATAAGCATGTTACAACAACTATATTAAACTACATGTGATGTACATTACATATTATGCCCAAATAGCTTTTATACCATTGGGATAGTTCTGAGAATCTGTTTTTAAAAATAGTTTTATTTCAGCAGTTTGGCTACAGAGGAAATGAGGCTTAGAACTTTCAGTTGTCAGGCAGTGAAATCTTGCTGAGGATCTGACTGATTTCCAGAGCCCTGACCAGGGTTTGTGTGATGCTTCTGTGTTTAAGTCTTTGCAGCTTCAGAGATTAAAACACTCCTTTATTTCACAGTCTCAGAGGAGCCAGGTAGTCTTGCACACTGGCATATATAGTCTCCTTCAGACCATTTTTATTCACTTTTATTGACATTGCTTTTCATGAGGGCAACGTGTGTGGACAGACATAGTGTAGGATTATAGCAAATGAAGAAGGGTCTAATAGATCTTCCTTATTATGGTAAAGCAATTGCATATTTAGAAATTAAGTTAACATAAATTCTGAAAGGAGGAGAGATTTAGAAACTTCACTGGTTAACAGAAAAGTCACATCAGATAACTTTTACTCATGTGGTACAAGAGCCACTGGGTATACAGTCTGGACTCTGGGATTTCATGCTGAAATCAAACTGACATGTTCTTGGTATGAATTGTGGGCCAACTGATCTTGTGCTGTAATCATCACACCGTCCAGTTTGTCAGCACAGGGAGTCTGGCCGTTGGCAGATGATGAGAGACATCTACAAAGAACATGCAGGCCCTGCCACAACCAAACAGCAAATGTTTTGCTGCAATACAAACATTTTGTTGCAACTTTTAGAAACTTGTTTATCAGATTCCAGAAGGAGGAGAACAGTAATTATTCATTAGATTGTCATTTGCAAATGTAATCACAGCCCAGTAAACAGCCTCCAAGAGGGGCTGATCCGGATCCCACCGAAATCAAAAGAAAAGGCTGCTGTTGGATCTGGTTCTAAGAGCTGAGAAATCTAAGCTGCAGACCTGGCTCCTGTGCCAAAGAGAGAGAGAGAGAGTGAGCTGGGGAGGGAGAGAGAGATCACAAGCACCATAAACAAAATGAATAAAACAGGATCCTAAAATGTATGGTACCATCCAAGTCGCTTGCAAAATCACTCTCTGGCACAGAAAGTAGGAAGGCCACATTTTAGATTTCACAGGATATTAAGGACAGGGTAGTAATAGCAGATCTATAATAATAATAAAAATACAGCGTTATAAAATACTATACACTTTTTTTTTTCCCTTTTGGAAACATACCAGGAAGTTTTCACCTTTAAACTAAACACATGCTCACAGTTTATGGAAAGAAATATTCATTGTTAGGGCCTGAGCGCGTGAAACGCCGAGAACTGTTCACTTCTGTTCCTTCTGAAAGCTCAGAGGCACCCAGCACGTGCAGAGTCAAGCTTCTTAATACACTGCTAGATTCAAGTGCTGAAAAAGTCAGCAGAACTATGGCAGTCTTTCACTGCTACCAAACTGCAGAAGCTTTAATTGCTTCTAAAGACTGTGCACGAGCTGCTAGCAGACTACGTGATGATTCACTTGTGTTGGTGCACAGCAGTAACACTGGAGCTGCTGCACACTTCCATGAGGCCAGGGGGACCAGGGTCTGCTTCCCTGGCTGTTAGGCACTGACTTCCCAGAGCTGCTCCATAAATGTTCTCTAAATAAATTCTGATGCCAAAATGACCATCATGGAGGTGAAAAATGGGATTCAAGTGATGTCTAGAAGTCACTCTTTGGATGGTGAGGAAGAAGATGGTTCCTATGACATTGAATGATCTCTCCTGAATACTGTAGAGGTGGTACATATTCACACATAAAGAAGACAATTACAAAGAGAAATCTTCCAGTTACTGCAGATCCTTCACTTGATTGCCAGTTCTATTTTGGTGCTATGGCTGTGTTATAAAGCCAGAGCTTTAAACTTCCATATGTATACATCGTAAAAGTGCTTGACAGAGCAACTCCCTCACTCTAACATTGCAGAAAAGGAAATTGTCAGATGTCCCAGTAGAAGCAGAAGAAGACTATACTAAGTGTAACAGCAGCAATGTGAAAACCAAAAAGGTAAGCAAGCCTTGCATTCATGCATGTTTTGCTAGAGCATAGATTAATATCCAACATTAGCACTGAGTGCCTATTTTTCTTCTCCAAAACACATCAGAAAAACAAATACCAAATGGCAGATGTCTGTAGCTGTATCTCCTTGAACTTTTCATTCAGGCTTAATTTGGTTGTGAGAGTCCTAATATCCTGTTCTGAACTTTTCTACACTGTTACTCTTTGACTGTAATTTATCAGTGAATGTTCTAGTGAACCTCACAGACTTTGACATGTTTTAAGGTGCTCAGCTAATGTTTGCAAAGCTCTTTGAGATCTTTAGATGAGAAATCTTATGGCTTAATGATAACAACTGTTAAATTTCAGTTATTTGAGGAAGAAACAAACGTGGCAGCATTCACTTAAATTCAAAGGGATGCTAAGACAGGCTTTATTTTTACCTAGAAATATTGCTTGTGCACTTACTAATGTCAACTTAATGAAGTTCAATCAACACAGAGCTTGCTGATTGCCGGCTCCAGCACAAGTTTGGAGGCCAATCCAAATCTGAGTCCAGCAATGCCTGCCACTGTACTATTCCTAGGAGAGCAACAGAGATGTGAAAAGAAATAGTTTCTGTCTGTGTGTGCCAAGGTTGTGAGGCTTCCACTGGCTTATTTCTCTGAACACTGAAAGAAAATTAATCCTTCTGCAGTCCACTGGGAGCTAAGAAGGCCCTCTGTGCTGGTCTCGTGACCCTCAGACTAATGCTGACTACTCCTCATCCCTTTGCAAAGAGAAGCAGCTGGTGACAGATGCATTGCTTCCTCCCCCCAAGACCCCCAGAATTTTTTGTACTCTGGGCACTTGCTAGTTTCAAAGTGAGAGCATTGCCCCCTTAAAAAAGGTGATAGTTTAAAATATCCATGTTCCCTCCCTTCCCCCATTACGTGCCTACAGCTTTTCAACTGAGCATAAAGGTAGAAAGAAACTGAGGAGAGATCACTCATTTTAACATTAAATATGGTTTATTTCTGAAATAATGAAGCACATTGATGAGAGAATCTGGGAAAGAAAGATAGCTCTTGGACTCTGTACAGTGTACTACTCTTTGTTAAATCCTTTGGCAGTGGTTTTGTTTGTGTAGTCACACAGACGATCATACTGTTCTTGCATATCTCCATCCTATCCATAACCCTCTTGCTGATCTCAAGTACTGTAATTGTGCAGCCCTGCAGACTGAGGAGTGTCACAAAGAAAGGTCAGTGCAAAGTTTTCTTAATAGGGAAAACAGCTAGAGATTTAAAACATAACATTTTGAAAGGTAAAAAATAAAAGAGGCCAGGTCTATAAAATGTGGTTTGTAAAATGTGTTTGAGGTGTAAAAGTCTGGGAATTTGTCCCAGTGGCCTCAAAAGTGCTTTGCCAATGTTAGTTACTGTCTTCATTCTTAGTTCTTCCATCTCTTTTCCCTTTATTTCACTGTGCATAGAGTCTTTGATAATAAATCAGTGTGAATTATTCATCATCTGTAATGCAAGGCTGTAATTCAGCCTGCTGACAGCATAATCATGAGGCTGAGTCGGAGGGTACAGTATGCATCTGTTATATTGCATGCATTATTCCTCTTAATGTACACCCAGAGATTATCCCAAAGCAAATGTTGGGCTTGGGATACCTCATTTTGCAGGAAGGAAAGATGTTTCACCTCCTCATCCTTGCGATTGATTCTCTGTCTTTGTCTGAGGTTCAGTTATTTGTGACGAGTATTTTTCTGATTGAATAATCTCCAAATTGTTGTGCAAAGTTTTTCTCCTGCAGTTTAAAGCCTGTGTAACACTGTTGTTACTGCTGTGTGCTAAAAAAAGATTCAACTTCTTGCTTGACTTCTGTATTTAGGAGTTTGTAGCTTATACTCCCCTCCTATGGAGATGCTGCTTAACTTTTTTTGTTTATCATTTCACTGACAGGCAAACACCAAGATGTCTGCAGCACAAAAGGCTCTGGCCAAAGTTGATAAGAGTGGGATGAAATCCATTTCTTCTTTCTTCAGCTCCAAACCTAAAGCATCAAAATAAAGACTTGTTCTTGAAAGAGTTATATACAGTGGTTATTTTTATGTTAAGCTAATGTCTCCTGGGTTTTTTGTTAGTGTAGTCTTTGTACGTGGTGGAGTGTGGTGAAGAGGTCTGTGAGTCAGTGTGGGACAGAGCTCTTAGTAGGACCATGCAGATGTTCCAGCCTGGGTCAGGAAGACACCCTGGCTGCATTGGTGTGGTCCTGTGAGCTAAGCAAGGTTTAGTGTGGGACCACACTCTACTGCTGCTTATTCCAGAGCAAGCTCAGTCAAGGCCACCACAGAATTTTCTCTGTTGCACTCCATTTTGGATTGGGACCATGCCCTCCTTTGAGTTTTTAAGTAGTTTTTTTCATTCATAAGGGAACATTATTTTTTGAGACTTTCTGGAGATTTTTTACCCAGTGTAAGACCAGAGTAGGACAGCATCTTTAGATTTTTATGTTGACCCAACTCTAAGTGCTGATGTAAGCACCATGGATGGCAATTTATCAAGGCAAAGATAGTGTCTGTGTTGGGATTTGGTTTGTTTTGGATATGCTAGAAACAAATTGCTGTAAATGTCAATGGGATTGTAATGCAATAAAGTGCTTTGTGTAACAAATTAGTGCTTGTTGTGCTTGCTGTGTGTTTCAAGAGTTAGGTCAGGGTTTGGTATTTGCCTGTGTATAAATTTTAATCTTTAAAGAATTACAGCATCACTTTGGGCTTACATGATAAATCTCTTCACACGTAGCAGTACAGGGGTGTTTTTATGTTCACTTCCAAGGTCAGTAGGTCCTTATAAAAATAATTAGGGACAGCTGACCCAAAGGGGTATTCCATAGCACATGACATCATGCTGAACAATAAAACTGGGGGGAGCTGGCCAGGGGCTGGCAGCCCCAGGCTGGTGAGCCACCACATGGTGCATCACTTGTTTCATGTCTTCCTTCATCGTTATTTTCCCTTCCTTTTCTGTGCTATTAAACCCTTTATCTCAGCCCAGGAGTTTTACTTTTCTCCACTCCTCTCCCCCATCCCCCTGGGGGAAGTGAGCTGACAGTAGTGTGGTGTTGAGCTGCCTGCCAGGGGAGACCACAACACTTCTGCATCTAAGGGTTAGTTTTGTGAAGATCTGCACAAGGTAGGTCTGTTGCTTAAAACACTCTACTCCCTCTTGAGTGTGTTCTATCCTCATGCCAGTGTTCCTCTGTATTCAGAGGGATAGCTGCCTGCTGTGTTGCAGCTTCCCTGATGCACAGAATTGAAAATGACTCTCTTCCCACATGTCATTCTTTGATTCTTCAGCTCTGTGGAGAATCTGCTTGTATCCCTTGATAAAGGGCAGTTTGTGAGAAACTGGGAGCTTCTTTTTAGTCACTGTGCCACGTTTCCACTTGTGACTGACTTGGTACCATGCACAACATTTGGATTACAGAGGGGTGTGTTAGGTTAAAGAGCTCTGTGGCATTCTGTTTCAACCAGGAATGAATGAGGTGGCTTGCTGTGAGTTGAGTGCAGTTTTGTGACTGTTGTTGAGGTTTGCATGCCTTTAAACAAGAGGTTTTTTCAAAGTTTCAAGCATACTTTGTAAATGAGGAAGTGAGCATTGTTGAAATTCCAGATAGAGGGAAATATCTGGAATATCTATGGAATTATCATCTGTGATTACAGGGAGATTTATTTAATGACTGTAGATGGCCTCTCAATAGCATACAGTTAATGTTCCTTGTTATAAAATGTTTGTCTCAAGTGCATTGTCTAGACCTGAAATTAAGTTCCTTAGGAAAAAAATGTTTTTCAGGCATTCTGAGGAATCACTGCTCTAAGTCTTCCTTATCTCTGAAAATCAACTCATAGTAGTAGTGTTTGAAGGTAGGTTGAGAAGTGTGTGTTTTGGATGCAGACACTCTACTAATTTTTCACTTAGAATCACTCTCCCAAGTCATCTGGTCCTTTAAGAAAAATTCCAGTCATGAATGTCAACTTTCTGAAACAATATAAAGGGTGGGGAGCAGTAAGGGTCAGAAAAAAACCAGGAATTGCTACATGGAGCTATGGAGAAATTCCTGTCCCACCACACTGCCTCCTTTTTTTCCTACTTTACTTGTCTAGGCTGTAAGTAAAGACTAACCCTGAGAGTTGGTGAATGAGAGGAAAGGAATTGTGTCTCTCTTAATGGAAAGCCACTTCCAAGCACTAGAAGATGTTGAGAAAGCAAACAAGCAGGAGATGGATGTTTGAGTGGAAACCCAAGAATGGGAGAGAGTTGCATGAGAAACAGGAACTGTGAGGTAGGAGAGATACACATGGTAGATCTGGGTATTTAAATCTGCTGGTTTTAGGGGGTTGGTTTTTTAACAGTACAAAAGATTTATGAAATAAATTTAGGAGAGGCATCCTTTCATTGACTGAACAATTCAAGAACCTTTCTCCTAAGAAGAAGACTCAGTTTCTCTGGTCAGAAGGAGGACAGTTCTGGTAGAGCTGGGAGGCCTTTGTGCTGACCGAGCTGGGATAGTGATATTTATGTTTCCTTTCTCTGTACATGACTTCCACATCTGCTGCTGCACTCGAGGACCAAGTCTAGAGTTCTTCCTCTGTGCCTAGATGCATCATGCTTTGGGGTGTCACATCTCAGCTTCAGCTGTCAGCTCTGCCCTAACTTACAACAACAGGGATTTTCTTAGTGACTGTGCTTTCGGTCGAGCGGGAATTCGCCCATGACAAAAAAATAGAAGCCATTTCCAAAAGCCATTAGAGCTTTCACGTGCAAACAAAAACCCTTTTCCCTTTAGGAAAGAATGAAATACATTTAGTAACTTTGAAACTTCCTCCACGTGTAGCTGTAAGAAGTTATGAAGAGCATATGGTGCCAAATACATAAAACAATATTTCCTACCACGACGGGGATTTAAATAGAGTTATTCTGCCTGGCCAGCAGTAGCAGTAGGTCATTATGAAATGCTGCTTTGCTATTTCTTCCTTGGTTCACTTAGTATGAAATGATACACCAGCAGCATGATGGAAATGTGGTCTTTTCCTGGATTAACCTATCTCTACATGTTCAAGTAAATAGCTGATGAGTTGTGATGCTTTTATAGCTGCTGGTTTGGGTTTGAGCAGCTCTTGCGTTTCCATGATTATTAGACTTTACTTTGCAAGTGCCTTGACATCAGTGGGCATGGAAAACTTGGTGTGGAAATACCAGCACTGGCTTAGGGATCTGTAAGGGTTGAACTTGCACATCCTTTTCAGACTTAAGTAATAAACTTGGTTCTATTTGTAGAAGTGACAATTGGTGATTTTTTCAGTGGAGAAGGCGGCGTGGTTGGCAGAATTTGCATTCAGATCTGAAACGTAGAAGAGCTGAGCCATGCTTGGGTTTGGGTGTCCACTTGTATCTGACTTGAGGTCTTTTAGAGGGAAACTAAACACATAGATGCTTATTTGAATAGATTAATGTTTATGACTAGGGTTTTCTCTTTCCTTTTTAGACGCCTGCGCAAAGACGTGCAAGGAAGAAATGAAAAGAACATGAGGAGACTCTCTGATCATCTTTTCACTTGCCATAATCTCAAAGCAGCTTTTAAGGGCCTTTTTTGCCACACTTTCTAAAAAGTTTGAAGTTAAGACGTGCCCCGTTCCAAGAAAAAGCAAATCTCAGCAGATTAACCTCGTTAAATACGCGGCGCGTTAAACATACACTGCTTCAAATTTTATAGCTTAGACACTATTGGTCTGTTGGGCCCTTCCAGGAAAGCACTTACCAGCATGCCTAATGCTAAGCACATGAGCAGGGATCCTAAAGGCAGCCGTGTTGGTGGTGTGGGTAAGTGCTTTGCTGGATCAGCGCCTGAAATCCTGTTAGGTGCTGAGCATCCTGATCCATATCCAGCAAAGCACTTAGGTCCACGCTTATCTTGAAGTGGAAGAGCCAGTCTGGTATTTGTGCATTAGTGTTCACCATAAAATCTCTCTTGGCACAATGGCTCACGTGCTTAAAATGAAGCACCTGCCTGTTTTGCAGGGGTCAGACCGACAGCATCTTCAAGCAAGTCTTAAATAATTACTTGATTTTGTATGAATTTTCTTTTTTTTATAAGAGTATATGATTTTAGTGGCCATAAGGACAAGTTTTAGCAGCTGCATAGCAAAATAGGTTGTATGAAATTTTCTCCTTCCTTTTTCAACATCTAGCCCAACTCACCAAGATGGCCTTTTTGGACTAGAAGTCCAACATCCAGACATAGAACCATCAAGAAGGTGAATTCTGGTTTTTAGGACATTTACAATATTTTAAACCATTTCACTGAGTGTGATATGCATGGTTTTGTCCAACCTGTTATCCAGAAAATGTCCCCTAGCTCTGGTTGGGTGAACAGTCTGACTCATGGAGTGCCAAAGCTTGAGGCAGGACCTGTGTTCAGGAGGGCAAAGGGCAAAGCTGTATTCTTATTTTACTTCTTTTATTCTAAGGGATTTAAACCTTAGAAACATATAAAATAACATTTACTTTTTGTGTTGTGAACTAAATGAAAACCTAAATAATCCTCCAGGTAAAAAAAACTTTAAGAGAGACATTTTCTGTGGAGTGAACTTCACAAAAAGTCAACCTGAGTCTGCATAAATCATGTAGAATAAGGATGCTAATGAGATCCTTAAATCATCTGTGTCAGATACAGTTTTTAACTTAAATACCTGTTTATAAAAATGCCATTAATGCATAATTCTGCTGCAAACTTTTTAAAGGTCACAATTGGGAGGATTCTGAACGTAATGAGTGTGTACTTCTCTAAATTCTATGACCTCAGTTCACAGGCACCAACAACAAATAGTCAAAATGTTCTGTAAAGTGAGAAGATATTTGAAGCATTTTAGATAAATAGAAAAATACTTTGCTTCCACTGGTAAATTCTGCCTAACTTCAAGTCAAACCAGAGCTCTAAGAAGAGTTTATTAGGATGCTGGTGAACTCTAATTGCCAAAGAGGCAACAGCTTATTCAACTTTCTTTTCA